GTCGTGAAAGCATGAGCACACATCTACGAAACACGAATCAATGTGCATTAACAGGTAGGCATGAGCTTGCGCCAGCTACCGAATGTTGATGTTCGCAGCTCATATCTGTCAAGCAAACTGCAGCTAAAGGCCTTCTCCACCCATTACCTCTTGCTCTTGGGCGTGAACTAAGGCATGGCGGCTCCCCAGGTCAACCTCGCCATTAACGGCTCCGTGGTCGACCAGAGCCCGGCTGGGGATGGACCGGTTACGCGTGAGAACCTCAACCGCCGTGTTGACGACATGGTGCACGTTGCTCACGCGTTTACCGTAACCCTCACTAACATGGCGATCAACTTTCACGGAGCCTACGACAAACACGTTGACGAGGTGCAAAGGGCCGCGGATGACATGGCGAAGAGGATTGAGGAATTAACGCGGCAGAACGAGGCGCTGATCCAGGACAGTGACGACGTCGACGAGAATCTCCAAAGAGCGCAGGCGGATATTAACGCTCTGATGGCGACGATTACGGACCTGAACATTCAGAATCGTGACTCGGGGGTTAACACGGAGGAGAATGCAACCAAGTATAGACGCATCAACGACAACATTGGTTACTTCCTGAACACCGCCAAGCGCCTTACCGAGAACATCGCGCCCCTGCAGGACTTCGAGGGTAAACGTGATGCGGCACTGCGCATGTTGGTGGCAGTAACCGAGAGGCTCGAAGGATTACAGAAGTTCTTGCATGACCCGATCAACTCCCCGGTTACCAACATCCCGCAGGTTCCTCCGCCGTTGCCCGAGCAGCCCCCAACGGTAGTGGCCGCCAAGGCGCCTCCCACTGCAGTCAACGCGGCGGCCGAGGCCAGCAAGCCTCTGGCCCGAGCTGCCGCGGCATCGGGTGCACCCCCGGCTCAGGGCTTTACCGGCACCGCGCCCAAGACCGGAGGGTTCGGTCGATCCGTGTCGCCGAATAAGATCCCGCAGTCAACGTCACCTCAACCTGTTTACAAGAGAGCACCCAAGGCCATGCATGAGCGTAAACGGGAACTGGAGGAGTTACTGCAGCTGGGAATGAAGATGGATGAAGATCGTGCGCAGGGCAGTCAACGTGACGAAGTACCAAAAGGTCCTGCCCCGGTGGTGAACGTGAGGGCGCCCAAGCCACCTCCTCCAGGCCTTGGCGAGTCAGGTGCATCGAGCAGTGTTAGCGGCATGAATCCCCCGCCTCCGGTGCCCAAGAAGTTATCGACCCAGCACGTTCCTCCACCGCAGCCTCAAGCTGTTAACCGCACGGACGAGCAGCTTGCGGCATACTCGCGGAACGTTGCCAGGGGCATGTGCCGCCCTTGTGCCGCGCCAACGGCCGCATGCCCATGGTGAACGACAGGAGCGAGGACCACGACGTCAACTACAAGGTGGAGCCCGACCCCAGGGAAGTAGTCGCGTTAACGATGAAGACGCGCGACAACTGGCGCAGGTTCGAAGGCAACTTCGTCGGACATGTGGCAAAAGAGGGGTTAACGACTCCAGGTGGTCGGTCTATTCAGGGCAACGCGGGGCGGGAGCGTAACGACTACGATGAGGTGTTCGTCGACATTTACGGGCAGCGCGCTTGCGGCTTCCTCGGTTACTCAGTGTTGAAGGGCCCGTGCAGCTGGAGATCTCAGTTGACGGAGAAGGAGCTGGCCAAGCACGACGAGTGGGTTGACGCGGTCGGGCACGTACAATCCCTGTTCGACGACGAGTACGTGCCGCCGATCCACGTTAACGATCTCCACCCAGCGTGGTTCGACGTTCACAGCTGCCCAGATACACAGGTCTACGTCAACAAGGCACCAGAAATGAACGAGAAGCAGCTTAACGGCCTTCTGCTAACGTGGGCCGGGATGCTGCCCCACGGCAACCCCGCCGTGGTCTCCGTTAAGCACCTGGTGGAAGACACTTACGGACCGCACGGTTACATCTCAACTGGGGTTACCGTGATCAGGTTTGCGACGCACGACCTTGCCAAGCTCTATTGCCGTTACATGAACGGGCTCCAGGTGTATTACCGCAACTACTTCATCGAGGATCTCGAGGTCAGGAGCGCCGAGGAGTTAAAGGGCAGCATCAACAAGCCTCCGGTTTACTGGCACCAGACCATCCTAGACGTCGCTCTTAACGATCAGGGGTCCATGAGGGCACTTTACCGTGACAACTGGCCTGCTGATCACATCACCGAGCGTAAGAGTGACCACCGCGAGAAGCTCTGTTGGTTTGGATGGTTGCCGTGCGACGACTTCCCCAACTGGCTTACCGACCCGGCCTGGACTGTGAACCCGTTTACCGGAGTTGCGGTCGAAGAGCACCTCCGCAACAATCCAGGTGGTAAACCTTTGCTGAAGGCTCCCCACGCCAGTTACTGGAGGGCCATCGGCACTTACCACAACATTGTTGACGGGTCCACCAAGAGCTTTGACGAGGGGTGCTGGCTGGACGACGAGGAGCGCATTAACGCGTACCTGGACACCGACTATTACAGCCCGACGCAAGCTCTTAACAGGGTGTCGTCCTATACGGCGGCCAGCGTGGGGCACCGTGGTTTACCGAAGTCCAGGGGCGCGCGTGCTCCGTCAGTGAGGCGCCCGCGCCGCTCGTAAGCGGTGACAGGTGACCGGCATGCTTTTCTTTTACGCTCTCTCTCATCTCCCCTCTCAACCAGGCTTAACAATAGCGTTGCAGTAGATTATTGAGCTGAATCTATTTGCATGTGCATCTTTTATAGTTTCCGCAGGTATTGGCGCATAAAAAGCGAAAGCAAGCAAAACCATATAAATGCTAGCCTGCCGTGTGAACTTTGGATGCTATATTTAAGCTCGTAACTGATTGAATGTTTACTTGAGCTCACGTTGCATGTCTGAGAGACGTGGTGCTCGTGAACGTTGTTACGAGATATTTCGAATTCGGTAATATAACGATGTCCATACAGCCTGTTGCTTGATTTAACCTGTCTTTGCGTTTATAGGCACCTCCCCGTCAGCTAATGCGGACTGGCGTCCGAGGGGGGGTGTTAACATGCAAGCGTGCGTGTGACAGGGGAGGAGTAGCAACCCTGCTGCCTTTTGGCTCAAGTGTTTAACGGTCGAAGCTACATAGACCTGCTTTGCCGTTCGGGAGTATAAAGGTGACCTATCGTTATCATTATCGCCAGGCTCCCGTGCAGAACCCTCCTCGGGGTTTTGCAGGAGGAGGTGGAGTAGCAGTAGACCTTGAAAAGCCATGTAGGAGTGCGTGGGTTCGGCAGGATGGAAACGAGGAGGAAGTTGAGGATTCTGCTGGTGGTGATGATGATGATAATGAGGCTGATGATTCTGCTGGTGGTGATGATGATGAGGAGGATTATGCTGATGCTGATGGTGCCGCTGCTGATGATGATGCTGCTGATGATGGTGATGGTGATGCTGATGATGATGACCATGATGATGATGCTGCTGGTGGTGATCATGATGGTGGTGGTGGCGATGATGATGAGGATTCTGATACTCATTACGAGGATGGTGATAGTGATGATGATACTGATATGGATGTTGAGGATGATGATGAAGATGAATATGATGATGAAGATGATGATGATGGTGATGATGATGATGATGATGATGGTGCTGAGGCTGGTGATTGTGATGATGATTGTGATGCTGATGACGATGCTGATGCTGCTGATGATGACGTTGATGGTGGTGGTGATGCTGATGCTGATGCTGATGCTGATGCTGATGCTGATGCTGCTGCTGATGATGATGATGATGCTTATGATGATGATGATGATGATGATGATGATGCTGGTGGTGGTGGTGATGATACTGCTGATGCTGATGATGATGCTGATGATGATGCTGATACTGATTTTGATCATTCTGATGAGCATGAGCATGCTGACTACGAGGTACACTGTGAACGGAAGTAGGACGATGACATCTGGTGCGTTCAGGATATTTGGAGCCCTGGACTTGTCTCGAGGCTTCACCGCAGGGGCATGCTCGTCAGCGTGCAGCGGGTTCGAGCGAGCAACGCCTCTCTGGACGGAGGAGGATGAGGAGAAGGAGGAGGAGGAGGACGAGAGGGCGGTGGGGTTACTGATGATGATTCTGCTGCTGCTGATGATGGTGATGGCGGTGATGGTGACGTTGACGATACCAGTGAGGATGAGGATGCGGATGATGGTTGTGGTGGTGGAGATGATGGTGGTGGTGGATGGTGGTGGTGAGGGTGTTCAGGGGCCCGTGGAGGTACCCGGAGATCTCCCGATCTCTTTCGCAGGCCTCCAGTGTTCTGCAGGGGTTCTTTCGGATGCCTCCAGAGGAGATGGAGGATGGACAAGTGTGGGAAGGACGGGGGATGGAGGCCTCCCCTCCCTGAGGGCCTGACGACTCCTGCTCTCAGAGGGCGCGAGGGCTTCCGAGAAGCCCCGCCGCCTTCCTCAGAAGGCCTCCTCCTTTTCTCACTTCCCCCCCTCGCTCGCGGCAGAATTTGGTTCTGGGGTCGTAGCTCGGGTCTCCGGCGGCCCTTCGGGACGATTCCGGCACCTCCGCCACGCCCGCGGCGAGGCGCAGCCGCTGGAACGCATCCCGAGGCTGGAAGACCGCCGAGAGCCAAAAACTTCCCCGAGACCCTCCGCGACGAGACCGCCGAGGCCGCCGAGGCTGGAGGCCGCCGCCGAAGACACCCGAAGACCTCGCACCTCGAGCCCGAAACCTCCCCCTTCCCACTGCCCCCCCCCCCAGGGGGCCACATGCGAACCCCACCCCTGCCCCCCACGATCTCTGAGGGGGAGGGCGGGGTTCGCTTCGCTCGGGAGCTCCCGAGCGAAGCGAACCCCACCCTCCCCCTGGTCCTCCCCCTGTTCCTCCTCCTCCTCCTCCTCCTCCTCCTCCTCCTCCTCCTCCTCCTCCTCCTCCTCCTCCTCCCCCCTCGCATGTGGCCCCCTACCCCCCCCCTTCGCTCGACCCGCCGACCCGCCGCCCCCCAGTGCCCAGGCCCTGCAGGACCCGGCCGCGGCCCCGAGCGTGGTGGCGCCCCGCCGCCGCGCCCCCTCGCCCAGCGCTCCCCGGCCCTCCTCCCGTGCCGTCCGGGTGTTGCCAGAAGTGCCCCTGGCCTTAAATCGGGCGTTTCCCCCCGCGATCGCAAACATTTAGGAGAACAGAAAGTGGCATAAACATAAAAACTCGGAGGTCCGCGCGGATTTCTCGAATCGGCGCTGGACCACCCTCCCTGGCGCGCGGAGCGCGCCAGGGGCGGCGCCGGAGGCGCCGCCGGGGGGCCCCAGCGCCGATGCGAGAAGTCCGCGCGGACCTCCGAATTTTTCTGTTTATGCCACTTTTTGTTCCCCCAAGCTCCCGGGAGGCGATCGCAAGCACGGACCACAGGGGGCGCAGATTTCAGCGACGGGTCCCGTTTCCGCGGGAAAGCGGGGATTTCCGCCGCCGAAGGAGGCGGCACTGGCCGCATTCTGGGGAGGGTACCTCCCCTGATCCATGGATTTGGCGATCGCGCGGCAAATCCATGGATCGCTAATCCATGTTTGCGCGCCCCCGATCCTGGGAGGTAATTATGAGCTTCTGCATCGGCGCCGGCATTTGCGCGGTCGATGACCTCCTTTTCGCGGTCATTTGTCCTCTTTTCCTCCTCCTCCTCCTCCTCCTCCTCCTCCTTTGCTCCGCTCGTTCAGGCGAGCACCCGTCCGAATTTCCGCCCCGAGTTTCGGCCACGCTCGCAGGACATACTTTCTGCGACTGGCGACCGTGGTCTCTGGTGAATGTCATCGGTTGTGAATCCTTGATTGCCATTGTTGTCCCCCAAATCATAATAATGTTACTGATAATAATAATACGAGTGAACATGCAAATAGTAATACTAGTACTACTAGTTACACTACTGACAATTATATCCATGATGGTTATATTAGTCGAAACCAATTGTCCTAGCCAGCCCAACCAGCCAGCCCAACCAACCAGCCACCCCGCAACCCCAGCCAACCCGCCACCCCGCCAACCCGCCCACCCCCGCCGCCTGCCCTCCGTCACCGTCGAGAGGGGGGGGGGAAGTGTTTCTTACAAGCGAAAACTACAAAAATCACCCTCCCGGGGTCCGGCGGGACAGCGGAGGGAGGGGAAATCGTACCGTACTATGCGGGAGGGGGATTCGCGCCCGAGGTGCCCAAAGACGATTTGGGGCCTCAAATGCGACACTGTCGTCACTTTATTACCTTTCACCGCGCCCCCCTTCTCAACGGAAAGGCTCCCATCCGTGAAACTGTCGTCATTTTTTAGCCCCCGCGAGAGGCTTCTTGGAGGCCCCCAGAGGCTCCAGGAGGGCCCATGGCGGCTTCGGGAGTGCCTCGGAGATCTCCGGAGGGCCCCAGGAGGACCCACTCTGCACCGCGCCTCCCTTCTCAACGGAAAGGCCCCCATGATTGAAATTATTTTCATCATTCCGCCCCCGCGAGAGAGTTCTTAGAGGGCCCACAGGCTCCAGGAGGGCCCATGGCGGCCCCGGAAGAGCCCACGAGATCTCAAGAGCCCCCCAGAGGACCCACTTTGAATTACACTCAGGGAGCTCCAGAGGGCCCAGGAGGCTCCAAGAGGCCCCAAGAGGCCCCGAAGAGCCCAAACAGGCCACAGGACCCCCAGCACGCTCTAGGAGAGCCAACGCGACACCAAGAGGCTCCAGGACGGGCGCCATTCCCTCTCCTCCTCCTGCTCGTCGTCGTCATCCTTCTCCTCATCCGTCCTGCTTCAAATCCTTCCTCCCCCTCTTCCTCCTCCTACTCCTCTTTCTCCTCCTCCTCCTCCTCCTCCTCTTCCTCCTCCTCCGCCTCCTCCTCCTACCTCATCCGTAGCCTCGATGGCTCCGATAGCGCCGTGCGCGAGATCCGCCTCCTCCCCATCCGTCCTCCTCCCTCCTCCCTCCTCCTTCCCTCCTCCCTTCTCCCTCCTCCCCTCTCTCGGGAGCGTCACAAAGAGGCCCTCCGAGGATACTTTCACGACAGCAAGGGCGCCGACACGATGAACAGACACCACGTCGGGGCTCTGGGAACGGAGTCGAAGACGAAATCTCGAATAACTTAGTCTTCGATGTTCGGGGCATTTTTCTGACCACCTGCGAGCCTTGTGGAAACTTCCGAGAGCCTCAGGGGTGGACGTGTGACGCAAGAACACGAGTGGAGGAGGAGACAACACGACGCTCCACGGAGTAAACTGCACCTAGTTGGTTTCTACCCCCGTGAGGGGCGTTACAGGGTAACATAGTTAATGATACAACTAATAACAATACCAAGGAGAAGACAACACAAAAAAGGAAAACAACAAATTTCGGTCGATGACCAGCTTCCTCTGGGCTATATGCGGCTTCATCCGGCTCAGTCCTGCCTCATCCCGCTGAATCCGGCTTGATCCTGGGCTCGACCTGGCCTACTCTAGTGAGGTGGCCCTCCAATCGGGCTGAATCGCCTTTGATTGTTCCAGCGAAGACCTCCCATGGCTTCCTCAGGCCTCACAGCAGGTCGGAGGTTCGTAGAGGGGGTGTTCTCCCCAGGTGGGGCCGGGGAGCGGTCCCAGCTGGGTGCTCGCGCTTCCTGCTCCCAGGAGCCCCAGAGTCGTCGAGAGCGACTTTCCTCTGACCCCACCTCTGCCCCTACCCTACCCTTCCTAGGGGAACAAAAAAGTAGCATAAACATAAAAACTCGGAGGTTTGCGCGGATTTCCCGGATCCGCGCTGGACCCCCCTGGCGGCGCCTCGGGCGCCGCCTCTGACGCGCTCCGCGCGCCAGGGAGGGGGGTCCAGCGCCGATTCGAGAAATCCGCGCGGACCTCCGAGTTTTTATGTTTATGCCATTTTTTGTTCACCTGGTGTTTGCGATCGCCTCCCGGGCGCTGCATCCCAGCTGCACGGGGAGACCTTTGAGACGGACTGCGCGGGTGCCTCAGAGTTTTGATGTTCATGTCACTTTTTTTGTTCTCCTATTTCCGTCCCCCGACTCGAGGAAAAACAGCCTGCACAGGCATGCACTCTCGGCGCTCCGCGCGGATTCCTCGGGTCGGCGCTGGGCTCCCCTGGCGGCGCCTCCAGCGCGGCCAAGTGGCGGGCTCCGCGCGCCTGGGGGGGGGGTTCCAGCGCAGGTGCAAGAATCAACAGGAGAAAAACACACAGACACTATTCATCGTCGATCCCCAGGAAAATATGGGAAAATATGGGAAGTGGTGGGGAATACGAAAACCCAGAAAATATGGGAACATATGGGGAATCCTTGTACTTGTGTGTATTTATTTGTGTGTCCCAGGGCCCCTTCAGAGAAACCCGTGCGGAGCTCCGAAGTTTTTGCTTCGGAAGTCTGCTTCGTCTTCTACAGAGAAGGGGCCCGCGTAGGCGGGGTCGAGAGATCGCCCCACGTCGATGACGCATCTGCGAGGCGGCTCGGTGTGGAGCCAGAGTGTCTCCACGCCGATGGCGCCGATGCGTCGGCGATGCGCGACGTGGCGCGATCATCCGACCCCGTCTGCTCGGACCCCTATCTAGGAGGCCTCTTGGTCATGCGTCCCACCAGCGCCTCCGCGACTCGCCATGACGCAAACGGGTCCTGAGGGCAACGGGTCCTGAGGGTTCTCGCCGCTTCTGGCCTCTGGGGGCCCTCCATGGGCCCCAGGACCTTCACTGAACGACTCGCCGTCCAGGCCGCCGAAGACCGCCGAAGACCGCCGAAAGACCGCCGACGACCACTGAAGACCGCCGAAAGACCGCCGAAGACCGCCGAAGGTTGGGCTTTCCCAACGAAAACGCTCACTGGATCTCTGTGCCGTGACCTCGTATGCTGTGGTGCCTTTTCGCCGTGCCTGCCCGCTCTCGTTGCTGTCTTCGTCGTCGTCCCCGTCTCCTCGACCTCGTCTCGGCCCCCCTCCTCGACCTCCTCCTCGTCCTCCTCGGCCCCCCCCCGTGCCCGTCGCGCGAAAGCGAGCAGCCACAGCCTTCTGCCCGTCCCCCCCCCCCCGCTGCCGGCGGACGCGGGCCTGTCCGCGGGAGCCGACCAGCGCTCCCGCGGCAGCCGCCGCGGCCGAGGGCTCGCGCGCTCGCGCGCGCACGCGCGCCCCCGCACGCGCGCCGCGCCGCGCCGCGGGCCACGCGCGGGCCACGCCGGGAGGGGCACTTCTGCGCGCGGCCGCGCGCGCGTGCGCGCTCGCGGGGGGGTGGCGGTGGCACCGTGGCGCGAGCGCGGGCGCCGTGCCCCGCAGCCTTTGGGGGGGGGGGCCGGCTCCTCCGGGGCTGCAGGGAGGGGGGGGGCCGAGGAGGGCGGGGGCGGGCCCCGGGCGCGCGGCCTCGAGGGGGCGCGGGTGCCCCGACGCTCGCACCCCGCGCGAGGGGGCGGGCGGTCGAGCTGGGCTGAATCGACACGAAGATCGGGACAAACTCGGATCGGGAGAACTCGAAACCTCTGAGAGTCGGCGGGTTTGGAGGATGTATTGGGCGCCGCGGCCGCTCTCAGAGCGTTCCGGAACGCTCTGAGAGCGCTCCGGAACGCTCTGGAGCGATTTATCCCGATCCTAGCCCTGTTTTAGCATCTCGAAGCAGAAGCAGCGGCATGAGCATATAAACTTCTGGCGCTCCGCGCGGATTTCTCGGATCCGCGCTGGGCGGCCTCCCCGGCGGCGCAGCGGGCGCCGCCGCGCGGTCCAGCACAGATCCAAGCAATCCGCGCGGGGCGCCAAACGTTTACGACAATGGCGTTCCGCTTCTCCTAGCACTGCTTGCCCTGCGACTCCTCCCCGCTCCCGTCGTCAGCAGAGTCCTCGGCTCCCGCCCGTGGGCAGGCGAGCGCCAGAAGACAACGGGGCCGACTGCGCCGACATTCGCGCGCAGGCTCCCCGCGAGACGTCGCGCGTGAGCGCCCTCGTCCCCGATCCGGCGTGCCGCGTTTTGTGGCCCGCAGAAGCCGCGGCGCGAGGTCGCGGCGGCGTCTCGCGTAGGACCCGCTTCTCCGCCACGGAGAGAGTATATCAGGAGGGGAAAAACACACAGACACAATTAATCGGCGATTCCCAGAAAATATGGGAAAATATGGGAAGTGGGGGGGAAGACAAGAACCCAGAAAATATAGAAAAATATGCGGGATATCTTCATTTGTGTGTATTTATTTCTGTGTCCCAGTTCCCCTTCAGTGTACACGGACCCTCCACTGGACTGCTCCTGGCAGACTTCGTCGGAGGGTGCCTGCGCACACACTTTCGGGGCGCAGTCTCTGCTCGCCGCGCAGGTGGAGGCCGCCCCCGAGACGCCCGCGGCGCCGCCCGTGAGCGCGCCCGCCCCAGGCGCGGTGCTCGCCCGCGGGCCCCCCCGCCCCGTGCTCGGAGCAGGGTCCGCTCGCTCTCCCCCCTCCGGCGTCCTGTCCTCCCTCGCCGCTCCGGTCCTCCCTGTATCAGGAGGGGAAAAAGCACACACAGACACAATTCATCGTCGACTCCCAGGAAGATACGGGAAAACATGGGAAGTGGGGGGGAAGACAAAGACCCCGAAGATGTGGGAACATGTGGGTGATCCTGTTATTTGTGTGTGTGTGTATTTGTTAGTGTGCCCCAGGGCCTCTTCACTTTGGCTGCCGTGTGTGTGTGTGTGTGTGTGTGTTTATTTGTGTGTCCCAGGGCCCCTTCGCTTGAACTGCCGACCCCAGATCGGCCACGGTGCACGCCGGTCGTTGAAGGTAGGTTTTTTTTTGGGATTCCCGGGTCCCCAATCTACTTCGAGCGCCTTCCTGCGTCAAGAATCGACGCGCTTTGGCTGTGTTTTGCTATTCCCGGGGGGCGCCTGGACCCAAGCAGCTTAGTCCGCCTTCCCACTTCATGCTTTCACCGACTTCTTCCGGCCGACGTGTGCCCACAGCGACAGTGGGGGCCCACATTCTCCAAGGTTCCCTCTGACTCGGAGCACGCGCTGGGCACCTGAAGGTGGTGCCTCCGCCCCTCCCCCTCGGCAGGGTGCATTTTGATCCCGTCTATCCGCTTCGATTCCTCTCCGCCCACTTCTTCGGCAGCATGCCCTCAAATTCTGTCTTCAGCGTCGATTAGCATCGATTAGCGTCTGGGAGTCGATGATATAGCGCCGATGCAGCGTCGGTTAGCGTCGATTAGCGTCGATTTAGCGTCGATTAGCGTCGGCTAGCGTCGATTCGCAAGAGCCGGCAAGATGGTATGTGAGGCTCCCATGAGGTACCACCGAACATTTTTATCCAGTCCGATTCCGATGTTCCGATGATTCAGCGTGGCCCAGCGCCTGCGTGGCGTGATGGTGCATTCTGGCGCAGCCAAAATCCGATTAGGTTTCGGTTCTGCGCCGATGCAGCCCGATCGGATGCACACTTCTATTCGATCCGATTTGTTGACTCGAGGCTGACCGAGCCTGCCCTCAGGGGAGGAGCAGGTGCCGCCAACCTTGCCTTTTTATCGTCTTTTTGTGCCTCGCTTGGTGGATTGGATTCGCCACGTCGCTTTTGCGCCTCGCCTGGGGAGGCCCTCGTTGGGCCTCGCTTGGGGAGGCCCTCGTCGCCACGGCTGGATCCGCCCCGAAGTTCTGGTCAGGCTCGGCTCGCCCTCCTGGGGCCTCCCGCGGGCACCCCGGGGCCGAGGGCTCGGCGAGCATGCTCTGTGGCCAAGCAGCGGAGCGGCGCTCCGCGAACCCGGCCGCGAATCGCGTGCTTCGAGGCGGATTGGCGGTGTGGGGCTCCGCTAATCCGAGTCGGAGCACTTTCGGAATCGGCGCGCACGTTGTGAGGCCAATCAGCAGAGCGGCGCTCCGCTAATCCGACGCGGGGCACTCCGCGAATCGCATGCTTTGAGGTCAATCAGCGGAGCGGCGCTCCGCTAATCCGACGCGATACATTCACGGAGCCGGCGCGCACGTTGCGAGGCCAATTAGGGGACCGGCGTTCCGCTAATCCGACGCGGAGTATTTTGGGAGTCAGCGCGTGCGCTTTGAGGTCAATAAGCGGCGCGGGGCTCCGCTAATCGGGCGCGATGCACTCGGGAAAGTGGGGTCGGGGCCCCTTAGAATTTCTTCTGGAGTAAGGACTGGGGCTCAGAGGATTAGGCAAGTGACCTGAAGACCCGCCACTTCGTGCCACAAGGGCACGGTGGCGGAACTAGCCAAGATTCGTTTATACCTTGTCACGCATATCCAGAGTCACTCGCACCCAGACTTGCTTATACTCAGTCCGCGCGCATTCGGACCCGTCCATGTGAAGCCACTCATAGTCAGACCCACCAGTGCCTAGCCACTCATGTTCGGGCTTACTCCCACAAGCCACACATACTCAGCCACTCATAGCCCGACTCGCACATACCCATCATCCGTTTTTGTCAGATCCACTTACACTCATGCCCACTCACAATAAGACCCACTCATGATCACACTCAGATCCACTTGTATTCTGACTCGCGCGCACGCTGTTCCGCTCATGCACAGCCCCATCCAGAATTTGATTCATTTTCATTCAAGCCCGTTAATACTCGGGCGGACTCGCACTCAGACCCTCTTCCACTGAGTCCCTCCTAGTCATACCCACTTACATTCAAACTTGCCCGTGCTCAGGTGCCCATACGGAAATTCACTTGTTCTCAGACGCGCCCATTCTCAGACGCTCATCGTGGCAAGTGCTAGAGCAGAGATGCACATATGGGGATCTCCGCGTCGAACCACTTATTTCCCCCCTCCTCGTCCTCCCCCTGGTATTGTCGGTCCTCTTCCTCCTCGTCCTTCTCCTCCTCCCTCCCATCCCGCCTCGTTCTCGTCGTCTTCCTCGTGCTCGTGTTCAATTTGTCCTCCTTTGTATGTCTTCCTCTGTCCTCGTCGTCCTCGTCGTCCTCGTCGTCGTTGTCGTCCTGCTGCTGCTGCTGCTGCTGCTGCTGCTGCTGCTGCTGCTCCTCCTCAGTCCTCCTCGGCTTCCCGCCCCCCTCTCCCCATGTGCAGGTGCAGGCGTGGTCAGCTCCTCCCCCGCGGGGTCGCCATCAGCTCCGACTCCGCCGAGCCAGCTCTCCAGTATGATAGGAGCCCCAGTCTTCCAGTTTTCCTTTTGCTGCTGTTAACCCCTCACCCTCTTCTCCTCCTCCCGAGGTTGAGTGCAGATCGCTTCTCGGGCAGCGAGCGTTTCAGCGAGGGGCTCCGGTGGGGCAGCGGGGGGACGGCTTCTTGCACGTTTTGCTTGCGCGCTCTGACGGCCCATATGGCCTCCCGAAAAGGCCAGCGAGGATGCGGTGGATGCGCCGGAAGGGGGAGGGGCGGCGGATGGCAGAAAGCATGCTGCAGGCGTGTGTTGTTAAGGCAGGCGCAGGACAACACAGACGTAGTTCCAGAGCGTTCTGGACCGCTGTAAGAGCGTTCTGGAGCGCTTTGGAATGTCCGCGGCGCCCGATGCATCCTCCACGCTCGCCAGCTCGCAGATATTTCCGAGCCATCTCGCTCCGACTTTTTTGTGTTCGTCCTGGTTTCGAGAGCGGGGTGGTGGGCCGACACCCACAGTTCGGAAGGACACGCCGAAGGGCGCTCTGCGGCCAATCCCGGCCACGCGGTGGCCGACTGCGGCCGCGGGGACGGGCCCGATGGGCTACCCGGGCATGCTCCTCTTCCTGAGTCCTCCTCGATCCTCCTCGATACTTCTCGCCCCCTTCCCGCCATTTACTCGGCACCTGGGGCGCGCCACGGGGATCCAGGTGGAACCTTCACTACATGGGGTGCTGTCATTCGTTTTGGGGTGGCTTGGATACGTGTTTTGGTCCAACTTTGGAAGCGGCGGGAGGCAAGAAGCTCAGAGCAGAGGCTCCCGGGCGGGACGGGCCCGATGGGCTCCCCCTCCCTCCGGATTTGGCTGTGCAGGGAACGCTCCTGCTGGGGTCGCGCGTGGGGCTCCCATGCCTCCCACGATGCTGGTTCGAGCGGAGTCTTGCAGAACACGGGGAGGTGTTCCGAGACAGTTGCTCCGCGGATGGCCCCCAGTGTCGACCTCGTCAGACCTCTTCGGATTCGCACTCTGTTCCCCTTCAGGACGGCTCGGAGATGTGCCCTGGAGGCCTCCGGCTGGGTCTTAGAGGCACCTCGGGTGCCTCGAGACGGCTCCAAGACGACCTCAGGCCGCCTATCTGTGGCCTCAACATGCTTCCCGATGCGGCCTTCGGGCTCCCCTGATGACCCGACCTGACTGAGTAGACGGGAAGCGGCAACTCGCTGTTCCAAGATGAAGCCACGGTCAAGATCATCGAGACTCGGGCGCTGTAGTCTGCGTCGCGGCGGGTCATCGGTCGTCGATGCCTCAATAAGAGAGGTACATTTGATCGCCCTCCATTGGCTTGCTTGACCGTGCCGGTTTTGGACCAAGTAGCAACATCTACCACGATTCCTCCAGATTATCTACTTCCTCTCGGCCTCCCAATTACCTGCCAGGGGTCTTAGCTCAACGTCCTCGCCTTGGCGGATCGTAAAGTCGGTCGGAGGCAGATGCAGCGCCACCTCGATTTGTTGTATAAGGTTTGGGCTGATCTGACGGAGTGGGGGCTCTCCCAGTCGCGTCAAGTCATGCTGCCCATTTACGGATCCATGGGAAACACCTAAGCATTTGGAGGATTGTCCATCCCGAGACAAATCTCGTAGCATCAGGCAACCGATTCTGTTTGCGATCAAGTGGCTGGAGGGGGCCTTGTGCTTTTTCTCGGCGACCAAGAGCATGCAGTTCGGTAGTGCTGGCGCGCTCGTAGATGCCTTGCAGGACCCCTTCCGCTGAGATCCGTCAGCCCCGCGATGTGCATCAAGATGTGTACGGTCCTATTGTCGACTATCTTCAGGGAGCGAAGGGTCGCACCCAGGCCTACGTCTCGGGCGATGGTGTTCCTGTTTCCCCTTGAGTAGCTCTGAGCTTGTGCAGCGGTGCTGACCTCATTGTGCAGCTTTCTGGGCCCTGGGATCCTACGCGGATGTTGCCGAGGCCGAGTCGGCCAAGGAGTGTCGTTCCCAGCCTCTGGGTGGGATCTCGGGGGGAGGAAGGGGAGTCCACTGGTGGACCAGGAAGTCCCAGCAGGGATGGGCCCCTACCACCACATTTTTCGCCAGCTGCCAGGCCCTGGCCGACCCTCAGAGTTCTGCTTTTGACGGAGTCGGCGCGCTATTCGGATCTTTGGTCGGCTCAGGCGGAGCCCGAGCCCGAGTCCGACGAGCTTGCTGACCTCGACCCGCTGGGTTTCTGCGACCCAGATACGATCAGGGTGGTCGCTCGCACGTGCCCCAAGGGCACAGCGGTTGAATGAGATGGTCTCCATGCTCGACTGTCTGCGGACATGACACATGGTTCTCTACAGGTGTTCATGGCGATCCTGCAGCTGATGGAGACCACTAGCCTCGTGCTTACTCGGACTGCATTCGCTTAGATCTGTTTGCTGTCCAAGGGGGCGATGGGAGGATATAGACCGATCGGCCTGTCCTCATCGACTTACCGCTCATGGGGTAGGCTAGGGAGGCACTGCACTACTCGGAGAATGTCCGCTCTCATCTCGTCACTGGAGCTGCTGCCGGTGCTTGCGACGTCGTTTAGTGTCAGTCGCTGCGCGCCGAGAAGGTCGTCGGCGCTGACCTCTTGGCCGTCTCAGTGCTCCTGGGACCTCTTCCCACTTCTACGGAACGCTCAGGCATTGGGGAGCTGCGTGGACCAGGTCGGTTGCTCGGTTTCCCTTCCCCCATTTTGGGGCGCATCCTGCGGGCCCACCGAGGCCCGAGCGTTTTTTTCCATGGCCAGCATCATCCAGGCTCCTGTGTGCGCCGCCGAGGGGGTGATAACGGGTTGTTCTGTGGCTGCTCGCCCGGCGCGCGCAGTATCCTGTGCCTGGACCTCCTCTCTCCTTCGCGAAGGCGGGTGCTTCGGTCCACCATAGTATGGGTGCCTTTTCACGTGTAGGGATGGGGGAGCGGCGGGTGGGGAGCGAGACGAGGGCTTCCTCCGTGGGGGATGGGGGGCGAGACGGAGGGTGCCTCGGTCCACCATAAAATCGGTGCCTTTTCACGTGTAGGGATGGGGGAGGACATGCAGGATGCCGTCGAAGGGGCCTTTGGAGATGCATGATGTCTTGACCGCCGACCTGCTCCGCCGCCTTTCGGCCGGCACGGCCGCCAGCGGCCGCTCGAGCTCGCGCGCTGGCTTGGGGGCGGCCTCGGCGGCCAGGACTGCGTCGCCGGCCCCCCGACCTCGGAATTGATTTTTACTGCCGGCAGGTCCCGCAGGGGTCAGAGAGCAGGTCGCGCATCTAAACGTGTGATCACCTCCTCCTCCTCCTCCTTCTCCTCCTCCTCCTCCTCCTCCTCCTCCTCTCCCTCCTCCTCTCCCTCCTCCTCCTCCTCCTCCTCTTCCTCCTCCTCCTCCTCCCCCTCCTCCTCCTCCTCCTCCTCCTCCTCCTCCTCCTCCTCCTCCTCCTCTTCAAGTATGAAGAGCGTCAAGGTCATGCCATGTCTTGCATACCTCGGGCCCAATCTGTTAGGCAGATGTTGGGACGTTCTGCCCGCCGCGTCCATCATTCTGGGCTTCCCCTCGGAGGCGACTTAACGTAGCGGAGGTGCACGGCGCCTCCGTTTGCGAGCCTCAGTGCCTCCGACGTGCCACGGGGGCTGCTTCGAAGGCTTCTGCTGGGGACCGCTCCCTCACCCGTGTTTTGACCTGCAGCCAGGCTCCCACTTGGCACGCCGCCGCGGCTCCTGTTCACCGCTACAGTGAAGCGGCGTGGGTCTACCAGGTGCGTGCGTTCAGGTATCTCATCCCCTTCGAAGAGCTAAGGGGTCTTGGGAGCTGGCATGCCGATGGGGAAATCTCCCCCCCGGCGCTCCGTTAAGGGCCCCATGGGTGGGTACGTGGCATGTTTTCATCGACGACCTGTGTCGGGAAACGTGTCTCGCGATGTTATGCCCAGGGGCCGTGAAAGCTATGCTGCGCGATGCTTTGCAGCGGTCCCACGAGCATTCCCTGGGCAAGGAGTTCGGGGCCGAGAGAGTCTGCTTTGATTTCGTGGCCTCAGAGCTCAGATCGCCGCGACGCACTCCGCTCGGCATGAGAACCATCAAGGCTGTCACTTGCGATGCGTTGTGGCCGAAGGATCGCGTGATTATTCTCGGAGGGGTACGTGGCATGTTTTCATCGACGACCTGTGTCGGGAAACGTGTCTCGCGATGTTATGCCCAGGGGCCGTGAAAGCTATGCTGCGCGATGCTTTGCAGCGGTCCCACGAGCATTCCCTGGGCAAGGAGTTCGGGGCCGAGAGAGTCTGCTTTGATTTCGTGGCCTCAGAGCTCAGATCGCCGCGACGCACTCCGCTCGGCATGAGAACCATCAAGGCTGTCACTTGCGATGCGTTGTGGCCGAAGGATCGCGTGATTATTCTCGGAGACAAGTTTGGCGATCCGATTTGCGCTCTGCGCTTGACAGGCTGGCTCTCTCATCCACGGGGTCTGGCGCTGCTCTGCCTGCCAGGAGGGGCTTGCCCCATCGTTTCGACGAATGTGCTCCAGGCCTTGCAGGGGGCTGACTTGGAAGACGACTTCTGCTCAGCCATTGCCCCCAAGCGTTCCAGGCTGGTGAGTGTGCGGCATTCTCCGCTTCTGGCCTTGGCCTCGAGGGGGCCTCCACTGAGCATTCTGACTCGGCTGATGTCGTCAAGGCTGCCGCCCCCCCGCCCCGCGTTCCAGCCGGCTTTCCCGCCGGCGCCCGCGCGCGGGCGTGGCCCTCGAGGGTGCGAGTCTTCTGTGGTCCTCCGTTGTGAGAGTCAAGGCCCACGCCGGTGACGACGGGTCTCGTTCTTTCGGCGGACTCACCTTTTGAGCAGGAGGGGGGCGGCCCTGCGGACGTGACAGCTAGAGCTGGCGCCGCGAGGCATGTCCGCCCCAGCAACGGCGCGATCGAGGCCACCGTTCTCGTGGTCGAGATTTCTCGCACTGTCTGCCGCCTGGCCGACTCTCTCAGGCCGCGTCTCGACCTCGACCTGCGCCGTTCGTGGGGCTACCGCCCCGACTGGTCCTGCTCCGTCGCCTGCCCCAGGTTTCGCCCACGAGCGGGCCCGCTCTCGGGGAGTCTGGAGGTGTAGCGTCTGTGTCGAGCACCGCCGCTCTCGGGCCTTGCCATCTAATGTCGGGACGGACGAAAGGGGGGGTTACGAAATTTGCTGCATGCAGCTGATTTCGGCCTCACCGAGGGGCCCATTCCTCGATACATGGGCGCCTCCCGGCGCCGGGAGGCGCCGGGAAAATCAGCTACGCGAGCTGATTCTCAACCCCCCCCTTTGCTATCCCCCCCTTTCGCCCGACCCGATCCCTGGCTTGCTCTGACGGTTCCAGTTTGCGCGCTCTCGTTGCAGACATTCTGCCACGCTCGCGAACCTTGGCACCACCAGTCTTCGCCAGGCCTGCCGCCCGATGGACAAGATATCGACGGCGTGCCGCAACGCTTGCAACGCATGGAGAAGTTGGAGAGAGGTCTCCACCGCAAGTGCGATGACGTTGCTCGCTGTCGAGCCGCTGACTCCTTTGGGCCTCGGCGAGGAGGATGACCCTCACACTTTTGCCCACGGCGGCCCCCTTCCCATGGTTCTCCTCTCCCAGTGAGGAGGGGAGAGCAAACCCGTCAGCTGGCCATGGTTGCAGCCGCCCTCCGCGAGGAGAAGGACGTGTTGCCGCTCGTTCTGGGTGCGGTGCGGTGCGGTGCCGCCTGCGAGGAGCCTCTCTTGACTCGTGGCTGGCCTTCATGCGACGCGGCGAGAGCTCTGCGGTGCGCCCTGGGTCTCCCCAGGCGCGCCGCCTTTTCAGACTGCTGCGCCCAGGCACTGCAGGCCGTGTGGATGCGATCACCATGCGAGCGGATAAAGAAGATGAGAACCATGAGGAGGGTGGGGAGGGCGAGGAAGATGAGGACGGGCAAGATGAGGACGGGCAGGAGGACAGAAAAGGAGGACAGAAGAGGAGGACGGTTAGCAAGTGCTAATTGCACAACCGCTCATTACCGTATGAATCACCGTGGGCACGTGCGGTCGGAAGAGGCGAAGGAGGAGTCGGATGAGGAGGA